AAATGGAACTATTGCCAACATAGAAAACGCTGAACATTCCAGTGTCCCAAGAGATCAGAAAACTGCCAGGGAGTGAAACTCACTGAGCTATATAATAATTCCTGGAGGACCGGCTCGCTGCCAAATCGTGTCGCCAAAAACATGGCGGATTTTGAGCTTTGCTGACGCCACATGGTTCCTTTTGCTCGTGGTGGTTACCACTGACATACCGCGATACAAGGTGAAAAACTGTGTCCATCTCCCTCCTGGTTTTTATGAAAATATTTTCAGCTTTGCAAATATGACTCATGGTTGAAACTATACTCTTGCACTTAGTCAGCTGCCAAGCATCTTGCCCCTGAGCTTTGGCCTCTGTTTCTTTGGATTATACCTAGATATATTGTCCTGAAGACATTCAAGAAAACATTATTAATTGCATACTTTCAGTAATTCTGCAGTTCATGCAGGGTATAAAAAAGTCTAATTGATGTCCATAAATATCCAATTGTCCCCAAAATGTCCGACAATAGTGCCAAAAAGTTCAAGCATTTGTTATAGGAATGTATAAATAATGAAAATATAAAAAAAAACACCTGTCAGTTCGTGTCAGAATTAAAATCTTCAATTTTGTCCACAATTTTTTACGTTTTAATATACAATTGTTCTTGAGTTGGCAATAACAGCATCTACGACTTGTATTCATCTTAAAAAAACGCTTTATATTTCAAAAAATCCAATTAATGATGTTTTCATGACTTTATATTTCAGAAAAACAAACTGAAGTTTTCACGGGAATTTTTTTTATAAAGGCCAGGGGGAGAATCTGTTGTTTAATAAATCCAGGGGGGAGGACACCCTTGTAGCGGGCTCATATTTGAGCCTGGTCAGTGGTAACTACCATGGCCAAAAGGAACCATGTGGCGTCAGCAGAGCTTCTGCGGTTGCGCAGAAGGGCGAAGTCCGCCATGTTTTTGGCGACAAAAAGATGGCGGCTAAGTTACCGAAAAATGACGAGCCGGTCCTCGAGGTATTATTTCAGACAAAATTTGTTCAAAAACCAACAAGTTTAACCACGGCCAGGTTACTAAGTTCAAAAACAAAATCCAAGATGGCCGCACGTCAGGCAAGTATGAATATGCATGAGGTCGATTTGGATGTAAATATTGACGATGTCGATGAATTCGAACTGTGCGATGATAAAAGTACTAACGAGGTAAGATATTCGTCGAAGACATGTCTTCAATCCCACTTCTAGGGATTTAAAGGTTGTTCTGGGGTAGTCAATAGTGTATAATTTGTACGGATAATAATGCATGGGGAATGTATATATTGTACAAAACAGTACATTGTAACATTTTAGTGTGTGATAATAGCAATCTGATCAATGGATTTGGCTTGGGTCAAACGTCAAACTTTTCATGCACCAAACATAATGCAAATAAAATGAAACAAAAAACTTAGCTTGTTATCATTAGGTTTGATGCATGAAAAGTTTGACGTTTGACCTGGCCTTATGCATTTGAAATAATTACTACAGCATAATGAAGGCCATAACCTAAATTCTGTAGTTATACAAAACGTCTAAAACCTAAATGTCTAAAAGCAGCTTATAAACTGCGATAACTGCACAATTTCAAGCTGAAATAAATTATATCTTCGGTAAGATTGCAATTACCAACATTCAAAACCATCTTGTTGGGTGCATGTTAATGTGGCTATGTTCCATCACTAGGTTCCTTTACTGTTTGGCTATGTAGCCACATCAATATAATGCTGCAAACTTAAGGCTAAATTCAATGTCAAAGTGTTTATATGTAGGTCAGTAGGTGCAGTGTATGGTGGATAGCCAGTGGCCATGTATTTCAATAGTTTCAGGGCTGGTATTCTATGGTTGTACTAAATATGTGTTGCATAAAGTGTCCCCTTTAAATAGTAAACACGTATTGCACAGTTGCGCTTACAAGGGCATTCTATTATCATGTTGAAACATGGTCACATTACAGACAACTGCAATTATTTTAAAATGCCTTAAATATAAATGTCAAAGGTATTAATTTGTATCTTTGAAAATTTAAGTGTTTTAGAATTCTACCAGTACCAAGCTTGCCACACAGACTTGTTCTGCATATGAAAAGTGTTGCTGTTTATGGCCGAAATGTCAGATCTAGAAAGTTTGTGGTGGGATGAATAATAATTCTTTGAAAAGAATTTGGTCTGCTTGATCAACAATCACAGTGGAATATAGGTGAAAGAAATCAGTTCCATCCATATCAAATCTCCTCCTTGAATCATATCCACTCCTCGAATCATATCCACACATGGCATTTTCAAAACCCTATGACCATTACCTTACATCTGGTTCAGTCACGAAGTAATTACCGGTACGGCTAAAACTGGAAAAGGAAGAGAATAGTCCAATTACAAAGATAGACAAAGACATTTTATATTGAGAAAATGTGGCCTAAGTTAGGATAGACTTTTCTAGGATAGACAAAATTTTTCAATTTGATAACTGGACCCCTTCCTGTGCCACCGTTTTTACTTCATAGCCCTGATCACTTTTCAAGTAGTCTGTCACTTACCTAGTGTTAATAATATATAAAGAAAATAATAAATGAATAATATTTATTAACGCACCAACAAACACGTACTGTAACAGTTTATCAGTGATGTACGATATGAATAATCAGGTACATGGAGTTATGCTCCAAAACAATGTTATTTTAAAAAAATAATTATAATTTTTTTAAATTTTTTATTAAGCGTGTAGTGGACTTAATTCGTACACAGAAATGTTATAAGTTCGTCATTGCAGGAATATGCTAAAACACCAAGTACATTTATTATTCCGTTCAGGTATATGAAACGATAATGTGAATACATGCGTAATATAAAAACAATGTGGTTATATGACTTTCGTTTGCATCACGGTATGCATGCTCGCTTTGACGATAAAACATATACCTTTAAAGAGACGTTGGATGTTGAGAAAATCCCAGATACCAGCTGAGCTGAAGTCGACGGCCCACAAAATAAACGGCGCGGTGTTCTTTCCAATCAAAAATTTATTTTGAAACGGGACAAATTTATTTATTTTGAAATGGTACGAATTTTTTGTTTCTTTTTGGCGAAACCCGGGTGCAATGTGGATATGTGTGAAATACCATGGATGAATGCCTGTTATTGCCATTCTATTCAAGTCCCGTTCGCTTGTTTTTCGTTTAAAACTGTAGTTATGTTTTATCACAGATAATAAAATATACATGGTTTGGAGACGAAATAAAAGTACAATTCAGCTCATTAATTATGTTATTGTCCAGGTTTATTCAAAAAACGGTTCCTTTCTCGTCACGTGTCGATTGTATTTTAGCCAAACTTAACAATGGTATTCGTCTTGCTAAGCTCCTCAACCTTGACTTGAAAATTAAATTCTATTAACTGTGGTTTTATCAGACTCCAAGCATAACTTGGGAAAGCACGTCCATACTTAACCATGCATGACATATAAGTGAAAAAGAGATCCCCAATCCAGAAAACAGAATTTTTACGTTAAAAATTATTTCCCAAAAGCTATTAAACGAAGCTGGTTTAATTTGAACAAAATTTGTCCATATTTAACCATGCATGATATATAAGTAAAAAGAAGTGCCGCAATGCAGAAAACAGTATTTTTACTTTAAAAATTCTCTCCCGAAAGCTATTCTACGAAGCTGGTTATATTTGAACAAAATTTGTCCATATATTTAACCATGCATGATATGTAAGTAAAAAAGAGTTCCCCAATCATAAAAACTATATTGTTTTATAAAAAATGCTTCCCCAAACCCTACTAAACGAAGCTGGTTAAATTTGAACAAAATTTGTCCATATTTAACCATGCATGATATATAAGTAAAAAAGAGATCCCCAATCATGAAAACAATATTGTTTTATAAAAGAGGCTTCTCCAAACCCTACTAAACGAAGCTGGTTAAATTTGAACAAAATTTGTCCATATTTAACCATGCATGATTTATAGGTAAAAAAGAGTTCCCCAATCATGAAAACTATATTGTTTTATAAAAAATGCTTCCCCAAACCCTACTAAATGAAGCTGGTTAAATTTGAACAAAATTTGTCCATATTTAACCATGCATGATATATAAGTAAAAAAGAGATCCCCAATGATGAAAACAATATTGTTTTATAAAAAAGGCTTCTCCAAACCCTACTAAACGAAGCTGGTTAAATTTGGACAAAATTTGTCCATATTTAACCATGCATGATATATAAGTAAAAAAGAGATCCCCAATCATAAAAACTATATTGTTTTATAAAAAATGCTTCCCCAAACCCTACTAAACGAAGCTGGTTAAATTTGAACAAAATTTGTCCATATTTAACCATGCATGATATATAAGTAAAAAAGAGATCCCCAATCATAAAAACTATATTGTTTTATAAAAAATGCTTCCCCAAACCCTACTAAACGAAGCTGGTTAAATTTGAACAAAATTTGTCCATATTTAACCATTCATCATATATAAGTAAAAAACAGATCCCCAATCATGAAAACAATATTGTTTTATTAAAAAGGCTTCTCCAAACCCTACTAAACGAAGCTGGTTAAATTTGAACAAAATTTGTCCATATTTAACCATGCATGATATATAAGTAAAAAGAGATCCCCAATGATGAAAACAATATTGTTTTATAAAAAAGGCTTCTCTAAACCCTACTAAACGAAGCTGGTTAAATTTGAACAAAATTTGTCCATATTTAACCATGCATGATATATAAGTAAAAAAGAGATCCCCAATGATGAAAACAATATTGTTTTATAAAAAAGGCTTCTCCAAACCCTACTAAACGAAGCTGGTTAAATTTGGACAAAATTTGTCCATATTTAACCATGCATGATATATAAGTAAAAAAGAGATCCCCAATCCCTAATCCATTATATAGCTCAGTGGTGAAACTTCAAGGAAAAAAGAGGAAGTTTGTTTTGGTAAGTGGAAGCAATCGTCGTTTTAAACTTTCAATTTTCAAACATTTCTTTTCCAAACTTTCGTTTTGAAGCAAAATATTTTGAATTATTTTCTCTCAATTGCAAGGAAATACACGAGCTTTTCTAGCGAAATATGTCGCACGACGTGACCGTAAACTTCAACGGCAAATCATTTAACCTTCGTTTTCAACCATCCTGGACAATCGCTCAACTAAAACGGGAAATTGCTCGCAAGAAAAATGTCAAAACTGCTGGAATTAAAATCATTTTTGCCGGTCGAGAATTACCCGATAAAAATTAACACTCGGGGTGAGTGATTTTTAGGAAAATATCAAGCTTTTAATGTGATTTATATAACAATTTTCAAAGAAATAACGAAAGATTTACTGTGAAATGTTGAAATGATTTCATAAATGAGGTTTTTTTAGTTCGGGATTTTGATGTTTAAAGCGACCATCTTCGTTATAGTAAATCTGAGATAGATTATGATACAGCTTGTCTTGCTTGAGTCAGTCCATCTCAGAATATCACAGTGTCTGAATTTTGATAAAATGATTTTTTAAGACATTTTTCAAAGCCATCTTTTTCCACTAAAACCTGACCCAAACTTATGTGAATTCTCACTCATGGACAGTTTCCAGGATTTTTCAGATGATTCTCAGAATTCTCAGTCTTTCAATTACCATCAGTCGACAATGAGTCTGACATTCAGAGATCTGAAACTGTGTTTTTTTGTAGAATGCAGAGATGAACCACAGCGTCATTCATGCTGTTCAGAAATCTGGTCAGATCTCAGTTGATGCAACTTACAATGCGAATGATGGTTTGACGAAAGTAAAACTGACACAGGATGACGAGGATGAAGACGGTGAATCTGAACAATCAGGTTGTGACGAGATCTTTCATAAACCTCTAGATAAATAATGTGACCCCACCCTGTTTAATCCCCCTCCTAATTTTACACCCTCAATAAATACCTCCAATATGTTCCCGCTATGTTCACCCTCGTTCCTCTCCCTCTCTGATATGACCTGATTTGATAAACCTCTTTCCTGATAAACCTCTCTCTAGTTAATCCACTATAATAATTTCTGTTCCTTGTATTGCAATCCTGTCTAATACACCTCTTTTCCAATAACCCTTTCTCTGGTTTGTTCTCTATAAAATATCCTTTCAATAGCCATCTCTAAATAACCCTCAAATCACTCTATTCCCCTCTGTCATGATTATGCCCTTCCCTAATGTACCTCTTCTCCAATATTCCTCTCTAATTAACCCTCAAATTATTCTCTATTCTCTTCCCTAATAGTATGCCCCTCCCTAATGTACCTCTTTCCTTATTTCCCTCTCTAATTAACCCTCTCTAGCCAATCCCCTATACCCTTCCCTACTAGCATGCCCCTTTCTAATATGCCTCCTCTCTAAAACCCCTTTTTCCAATTAACCCAACCCACCCTTGCCCATACCCCCTTACCTGGATGTCCTCTAACACAGTACTGTACCACTTCTCTAATTGTCTATCTCCAATAAACTCCTATCCCCAGCTTGATACCCTTGCATTTTCCTCATGGAGAAACCCTGGGTAGAGGGTTCTCTACCCTGCCTTCCCCCCTAATCATATTATACTTCATCCATGAAGACCCACCCTCTCTCCCTAATAAACCACTCTCTCTCAAATAAGCCCCTCTCTCTTTAATAAGCCCCTCTCTCTCTAAAAAGCCCCTCTCTCTCTAATAAGCCCCTCTCTCTCTAAAAAGCCCCTCTCTCTCTAATAAGCCCCTCTCTCTCTAATAAGCCCCTCTCTCTCTAATATTAGGCCTCTCTCTTTCTAATAAGCTCATCTCTCTAACACCAGGGCTCCTTTAATAATCCAAACTTTTTGTACTCTTTCATCTCAGGCAAGCAAAGTTTCTTCTTTGTTTATTGTAAAACTTGCAAGAAACTAACACAAGGAAAATTGCGATGTCGATGTTCAAATTGCAAGGAAGGAAGCTTTGTTCTATCACAGGTATTTACTGTTTCCTTATAAACAACTTGTAAAAAATCTGCAGCAGATTTATATTTAGACTTTATAAAATGTCGACATTGTTACAACTTGTTTACAAGCTTGCTGTGAAAGCTTTTGAATGTCAACAAACATCTTGTTTACACAATATTTATGGTTTCTTGCAAGGGTCCAAATGGTTGGGACGATGTATTGATCAAAGGCCGAATGCAGGGACAATGTGAATCCAATACAAACTGTCAGGGAAAAACAGCTGTAAGTTATCCACCTATTAGACCTAAAATACAATAGTGGGTCACATCTAGGTGCATTGCAACTAATGGGTTAACAAGAGACACTGACAGATATTAGTTTGTTAACTTATTAACTGACAGTACTCTTCCACTGATGAGTAAAATTACCTGACATTATACAGAGTAAAATACTAAAGTAGGTCACAAACTTCTTGTTCTTTCAAAGGAATTTTATTTCAAATGTGGGGAACATCATGGTAGAGATGAACAGGCGCCATTATCAATGTTGAAATCTAACATCAGAAATATTCCCTGCATCACATGCTCTGAAATCGTAAGTTTACCCTTTCATTTTATGTCTCCTCCCAGAAACATTTATCCTACTAGGAAAGTTGAATTTTTTAATCCAAACTGCAGTTAATAGAAACTAATAACTCTGATCCAACATGGTCAATATTTAATCAATTTTTTTCACTCATGCTGTCATGCACCTACCTATTGTTTTAACTGTTTTATTTTATGTTTATTTGAAACCATCCTCAATGAAAATATCTATTTCATAGATTTGTTATTGTTCTTTAATATATAATTCTATAAGAACTGGCTCAATCACAAAAATACAAATCAGTATATGTCTGACAATCAACTTAGAATGCTACAATCTATTTCTATAACTTTGTGAAAATCTTATAGTTCATTTCAATGTTCATAATATGTTAGGAGTTTTCACTTAATACCGTACATATTGTTCACACAACAACAGCAGTGTGCCACCATCTTGCTTTAGACATTTCTGGAAGTTCTTCCCAAGAATACCTTTCAAAGTTGAAACCTTCAACTGACTTCAGTTCTCCTGCACCAGATCCTCCCAGGACTACAATGTTGTTTTCAATAACAACTGCAGTGCATCCTCTCCTCTTATATCTCATTGATGGCAGCATGTGACTTTGTTTTGTCTTGACATTGTAAATGATAACTGTATCTAATGTCTTGCCATGTTTGTCAACGCCACCAATAACAACGATGTTGTCTCCCCATCTCACAGTTGCCATAGCACTCACTTCATACGGCAGTGGTGACAACTGTTTTAGCTCATTCTTCTTTATATCGTACAGTACGACACTGCTGAGGTTGTCTGTGTAACTGTCAGTTTTACTTCCACCAACTGTCAACAAATTATCATCAAATATTTCCATGCTGTGACCTTGTCTCGGTTCTGGCATTCTTGATAAGGTCTTCACAGTATAGGGAGGAACAAGCTGGACTGATCTGATCAAGTCAGATGAAACATTTCCATTATCACCTCCAGAGAGTATCAACTGATCATTATACAGCACACTGCTGTGGTATCTCAACTTATCAGGTAGTTTAACAGGACAGTCACTCCAGTGTGTTGAGAGATCAGGGTTTGGGTCAATATTCATTCTAATTATATCATCAACAAATGCCAGGCCAACCACAGCCACCCCCAGCTATATTCATATGATTGTTATAAATAAATGAAGTCGCTCCATAACGATTCTCTGGCATTGATTGTAATGGCGACCATGATTTTTGACGCCAGTTAAACATCTCTACAGAGTTTGTTCCTACACCTCCAGCAACAATTATATTTTCCTTATCACCACTTGGTCTATTTCTTACTTTTCTTGTGTTTTCTTCTATCTTGCCCTCCATCGTGATATGAACATCCTTCATTTCATCAAAAGCTCTGACCAAAGCTGTTTTCAATCCATCGACTTTGTTGTTAACCGCTTCGACGTTTTCCTTCTTCTTATATCTGCTTTTATATCTGCCGTGTTTTTCTTGATTTTTCTAATATTTTTTTTTGAATTTTTTTTCAATAATTGTTATTTCTTGTTTCTTCTTCTCGATATTCTTCGCCATTCTTTCCTCCATATCTGCCAAAGTTTTTCGTTCATTTCTCCGCACGAAGTGACACTTCAACTTTCGGAATTCACAGACTTCACTTTCATGGTGAATAAGATCACGCTTGTTGACAATTAAACCACAGCCTTGGTTTGTACAAACGGCTGGTGTATATCCACATGTATCTTCATGGCGGTCAAGATGCTGTAATTCTACAACTTCTTGACAACCTCTGTCGATGTAAACGCACGAATTTTTGATTCATTCAAGAAATCTTTTACAATTCTATTTGGTTCGGCCAAAGTCTCTACGGTCAGTTCATCAGCACACGTTGGGCATGTTTGAGAATTTTCCAGATGTTTCGTAATACAACAACGGCAAAAAGAATGCTGGTTTCTCGAACACATAACCGGCTCTTTCAAGACGTTGAAGCAAATCTGGCAATGAAAATTTTTGATTGATTTTGTCCACAAACCTTTCTTCATCGTAGCCTTGTATATATGTAAGCCATATTTCACGTCGTTCTTGTTCGTAATAATAAAGCAAGTTCTGTGTTGCTTGTCGCTCTGTAGTATAAACCTCGCTGTATAGACTGAATATAGATACAGTGTTCGTTCTTGAAGAGTCTGTGTGTTTGTATTTTCTCGAAATCTTATCCAAAATGATCAGTTTTTGAGGACAAATATCTCTTCGTTATAAAGTATTTGCATTAAGACGCGTCCTTTCCTGTCAGGACTTAGGAATTCCTGGAATTTGCTGCCGTGTTTCCAAAAATGAATTTGAAAATGTCGCGATCTGACTGAGAGAGCTGGAGCAAATTAAACATTTTTCTGATTTTTTCAGTAGATTTTTGAGAAATGTTATTTTACAGTAATTTAAGGTGGCTCCCTACAGTTCTATGGGTGTATCGCGGTAATTTTTGTCGCGCGCGAAATAGGACACGCAACACGCGTGGCTGATGTTGCATGCAGGGCGGGCTTTTTAAAACTTGTCATTGTGAACGCTTTGTCATTGTTGTGCGTTTTGATAAACACGCGCGGGCCTCGCGGGATGTCGACTGGTCGCGCGAGGAAATTGAAATCCTGATTTTTGTGACGTCATAAACATAAAAATAAATGTATTTTTCTCGTTTTTCCTTCGGTAAATTCTTTTCAAACTTTACACAGTTTTCTGTAATCTTGAAATGCGTAAAATGTGCAAGTTTTAAGAAAATCGTACGAGCCGAATTTTTTTTAATTAAAAAACAGGATTTTTTGAGGATTTAAAAAAAAGTGCTCGTACGATTTTTTTTAAATGCTAACATTAGAAAGAATTATGGATAAGATTACTGTGTGGAAAAAATTAGAAAGTTTTACCGAAGAAAATTTGAAAAAATTATCTCAGAATCTGTAAATTGGCCCTTTTTAAAATCGTTATGTTACCATGGCAACGAGGAAATTTTATGAAATTTTATATATTTCGTAATTTGCGATATTATAGCAGTTATGTGGCCAAGTTTCGTGATCATACTTTGTAAGATGATAAAATAATGGTCTTTCCAACATAATTGCGCATTACACAATCAAAACTGTAGGGAGCCACCTTAAGTCGACTCTAAAAGCTTTAACTTGTTCTATTTAAATGCGAATTTACACTTTCAAAAGTGCTGACGATGCTGCGATAGTTTTTAATATAAAACTCCATGTTCACTAAATCCTAAATACACGAATTTAATTGTTGGGATTATGTTAGGAATTGGTTAAGATTATGTTTTAGGTTTATGGTTTAATAAGGTTAAACCTAATCCTAAATTTAACCCTAATCCTAACCTAATCTTAAGGATTAAATGGAGTAATACTGCCAACATAGAAATCGCTAAACATTCCAGTGTATCGAGAGATCAGTAAACTGTCAGGGAGCGAAATTTCAAGGCAAAGAGGAAGTTTGTTTTGGCAGTTAATGAGTTAAAAAAACTATCCCTCAGACTTATTTACTATTTGAGATTATGTTACGATTTGGGTTAAGATTTGGTTTTAGGTTTATTGTTAATTAGAGTAAAACCTAATCCTAAATTTAACCCTAATCCTAACCTAATCTCTGGAATTATATTGATTGCCAACATAGAAAACGCTAAACATTCCAGTGTTTCCAAGAGATCAGAAAACTGGCAAGGAGTGAAATTTCAAGGAAAAAAGATGAAGTTTGTTTTGGTAAGTGGAAGCAACCTTCGTTTTAAACTTTCAATTTTCAAACATTTCTTTTCCAAACTTTCGTTTTGAAGCAAAATATTTTGAATTATTTTCTCTCAATTGCAAGGAAATACACGAGCTTTTCTAGCGAAGTATGTCGCACGACGTGACCGTAAACTTCAACGGCAAATCATTTAACCTTCGTTTTCAACCATCCTGGACAATCGCTCAACTAAAACACGAAATTGCTCGCAAGAAAAATGTCAAAACCGGTCCTACTAAAAACCGCCCGAGACCGCCCGAGACCGCCCGAGAGTATAGAAAAACCGCCCGAGACCGCCCGAGAGTATAGAAAAACCGCCCGAGAGTATAGTAAACCGCCTTCGACGGTCAGAGAGCAGGACTTCGACGGTCCTGTCAAAATATTTATTATTACTATTTCACTTTCTAAATCCCTAATGTTATGAGCAGAACCAATGCGCAGAAGCCGGCTGAATAATAAATGATGTCATAACTTTAGTTACGATTATTGTCTCCTTGATCTCAATGTATTCTATGATTAAACTGGTATGATTAAACTGGTATCCTGACATCTGGTATCCTGATTAAGACACTGTTTTAAATGCAGGCCGGGCAAAGGAAAACATAAGGATCATGTTGAGTAAAACAACAGAGCCAGGAGAATTTCCATGCACAATTACAATTCAGCCCGCTAATCTGTGCTAGTTAGTGTCAAATGTTCTTGTCTAAGCATACGGGTTCTTAGGACATTTCATATTTACTGGTATTTAATTTAAAAACACAAAATAACTTCAGATTTCTGTCAGCCGCTTTTTTAAAGTCTCGGGCGGTTTTTCTATACTCTCGGGCGGTTTTTCTATACTCTCGGGCGGTCTCGGGCGGTCTCGGGCGGTTTTTCTATACTCTCGGGCGGTCTCGGGCGGTCTCGGGCAGTCGGGCGGTTTTTAGTAGGACCCGTCAAAACTGCTGGAATTAAAATCATTTTTGCCGGTCGAGAATTACCCGATGAATTAACACTCGGGGTGAGTGATTTTTAGGAAAATATCAAGCTTTTAATGTGATTTATATAACAATTTTCAAAGAAATAACGAAAGCTTTACTGTGAAATGTTTAAATGATTTCATAAATGAGGTTTTTTTTTAGTTCGGGATTTTGATGTTTAAAGCGACCATCTTCGTTATAGTAAGGGCCTTTTATATGATCCCGTCTAGCCGAGAAGGGATGTTTTCATCTCGCTTAGCCGGGAAACTCGCCTAGGCGGGATGGCGTGTTTATATGCAGTTCATTTTGTAGTGCAGGTTCCTTCGACGGCATGTTTTATTGTAGAAAACGAATATGCCAATATATACCATGCTCTTAATGTATGTTAATTGCGAATCATCCCGGGCAAGCGGGATGGAGTGTTTATATGGCAATTTCTCGTCCCGTCTAAGCGGGATCCCGGCAAGAAGTGCCGGGATCCCGCCTAGGCGGGATGGAAAAGCGGTCATATAAACACTAATTAGTGTTTGTATTACAAGCGGGATCTCGGAAACTGTCCCGTCCCGGCTAGGCGGGATCATATAAACAGGCCCTAAATCTGAGATAGATTATGATACAGCTTGTCTTGCTTGAGTCACTCCATCTCAGAATATCACAGTGTCTGAATCTTGATAAAATGATCTTTTAAGACATTTTTCAAAGCCATCTTTCTCCACTAAAACCTGACCCAAACTTATGTGAATTCTCACTAATGGACAGTTTCCAGGATTTTTCAGATGATTCTCAGAATTCTCAGTCTTTGAATTGCCATCAGTCAACAATGAGTCTGAAATTCAGAGAACTGAAACTTTTTTTCTAGAATGCAGAGATGAACCACAGCGTCATTCATGCTGTTCAGAAATCTGGTCAGATCTCAGTTGATGCAACTTACAATGCGAATGATGGTTTGACGAAAGTGAAACTGACACAGGATGACGAAGATGAAGATGGTGAATCTCAACAATCAGGTGGTGACGAGATCTTTCATAAACCGCTCAATGATGTGACCACTCTCTTTTTAGTGTTCTTTCTGGTTTAATACACACCCTCAATAAATACCTCCAATCCATCTCCACTGTGATAACCATTTCTTTATACCTTTCCGTAGTATATCCCTCACAAATACACCTCAATCTTCTTTAAAAACCCCTCTCTCCAATTGTCTGACTCTAAACCCTTCTGTATCTCCCTCCCACCCTCTCTTCAACTAACTCTCCATCTATAACAATTCCTTCCACATACCCCTCCCTTGTAGGATTTCTCTCTTACGGAATAACCCTCTCTCTGATTAACCCCCTATAACAACTCCCTCTTCATGCCCCTCCCAATTAATGTGCCCTTACACCTATTCTCTAATACCTCTCTCCAATTAACACTCTAACAACCCCTTTCCTGTACCCCTCCCTATAAGTATACCTCTCTCTAATGTATACTTCTCTAATATTCTAGTCTCTAAATAATACTCTTAAAATAACCCGCTCTTTATACCCCACCCTGTAAGTATACCCTTCTCTAATATACTTCTCTAATACTCCAGTCTCTAAATAATACTCCAAAATAACCCCCTTTTTACACCCCTCCCTAGTAGAGTGTCCCTCATGACTATAATACACCTCTAGAATAACTCTCTAAAATAACCCCTCCCCCATATTCCCTCCCTTATATAGCCTTCCCTTTATACTTCTTCTCTAATAGACCCTCTATCAATTTAACCTCCTGTATAGTCCCCCCTTCCATACACCCTTGACCCTTCCCTACATGTCTTTTAATATATCTTACCCTCCTAATCTTATATTATACTCCATCAATATAAAACCCTGCTCTTTCTAACACTAGGGTTTCTTTAATAATCCATATTTTTCATACTCTCTCATCTCAGGCAAGCAAAGTTTCTTCTTTGTTTATTGTAAAACTTGCAAGAAACTAACACGAGGAAAATTGCGATGTCGATGTTCAAATTGCAAGGAAGGAAGCTTTGTTCTATCACAGGTATTTACTGTTTCCTTATAAACAACTTGTAAAAAACTGCAGCAGATTTATATGCAACTTTGTAAAATGTCGACATTGTTACAACTTGTTTACAAGCTTGCTGTGAAAGCTTTTGAATGTCAACAAACAGCTTGTTTAAACAATATTTATGGTTTCTTGCAAGGGTCCAAATGGTTGGGACGATGTATTGATCAAAGGCCGCATGCAGGGACCATGTGAATCCGATAATAACTGTCAGGGAACAACAGCTGTAAGTTATTCACCTATCAGACCTAAAATACAATAGTGGGCCACATCTGGGTGCATTGCAAGCTAATGGGTTAACAAGAGACACTGACAGATAATTTTGTTAACTTATTAACTGACAGTACTCTTCCACTGATGAGTAAAATCATTTGACATTAGACAGAGTAAAATACTAAAGTAGGTCACATCTGGGTGCATTCCTAGCTAATGGGTTAACAAGAGACACTGACAGATAGTTTTGTCAACTCATTAACTGACAGTACTCTTCCACTGATGTGTAAAATTATCTGGCATTAGACAGAGTAAATTACTAAAGTAGGTCACAAACTTCTTGTTATTTCGCAGCAATTGTTATTTCAAATGCGGGGAACATCATGGTAGAGATAAACAAATGCTGTTATCAATGTTGAAATCTAACATCAAAAATATTCCCTGCATCACATGCTCTGAAACATCGTAAGTTTACCCTTTCATTTTACGTTTCCTCTCAGAAATATTTATGCTTCTAGAAAAGTTGAATTTTTTAATCCAAACCGCAGTTAATAGAAACTAATAACTTTGATCCAACATGGTCAATATTTAATCAAATTTTTTTCACTCATGCACCTACCTATTGTTTGAATTCTTTTATTTGATGTTTCATTTTAAACCTTCCTCAATGAAAATATTTATTTCACAGATTTGTTATTGTTCTTTAATATATAATTCTAAAAACTGACTCAATTTAAATTCAATCACAAAAATACAAATCAGTATGTGTCTGACAATCAACTTAGAATGCTACAATCTATTTCTATAACTTTGTGAAAATCTTATAGTTAATTTTAATTGTTCATAATGTGTTAGGAGTTTTCACTTAATACCTTACATATTGTTCACGCAACAACAGCAGTGTGCAAGTATCTTGCTTCAGACATTTCTGGAAGTTCTTCCCAAGAATACCTTTCAAAGTTGAAACCTTCAACTGACGTTAGCAGTGCTTGCTCACTCTCCCCTCCCAGGACTACAATGTTGTTTTCAATAAAAACTGCAGTACATCCCCTCCTCTTACATCTCATTGATGGCAGCATGTGACTTTGTTTTGTCTTGACATTGTAAATGATAACTTTATCTAATAACTTGCCATGTTTGTCAATGCCACCAATAACAACAATGTTGTCTCCCCATCTCACAGTTGCCATAGCACTCACTTCATACGGCAGTGGTGACAACTGTTTCAGCTCATTCTTCTTTATATCGTACAGTACAACACTGCTGAGGTTGTCTTTGTTATAGCCAGTTGTACTTCCACCAACCATCAACAAATGATCATCAAATATTTCCATGCTGTGATTTTGTCTTCGTTCTGGCATTCTTGATAAGGTCATCACAGTATAGGGAGGAACAAGCTGGAGTGATCTGATCAAATCAGATGAACCATTTCCTTTATAACCTCCAGAGACTATCAACTGATCATTATACAGCACACTGCTGTGGTATTTCAACTTATCAGGTAGTTTAACAGGACAGTCACTCCAGTGTGTTGAGAGATCAGGGTTTGGGTCAATATTCATTCTAATCATATCATCAACAATGCCAGACCAACGACATTCACCCCCAGCTATAGTCATATGATTGTTATAAATAAATGAAGTTGCTGCCCAACGATTCTCTGGCATTGATTGTAATGGCGACCATGTTCTTTGACGCCAGTTAAACATCTCTACAGAGTTAGTCCAATCACCTCCAGCAACGATTATATTTTCCTTATCACCACTTGGTCTATTTCTTACTTTTCTTGTGTTTTCTTCTATCTTGCCCTCCATCGTGATAAGAACGTCCTTAATTTCATCAAAAGCTCTGACCAAAGCTGTTTTCAATCCATCGACTTTGTTGTTAACCGCTTCGTGTTTTCCTTCTATATCTGCTTTTATATCTGCCGTGTTTTTGTCTATTTTTCTGTCTAAATTTGTTATTTTAATTTCAACTGTTGTATTAAACTTCTCGATATTCTTCTCGATATTCGCGATTCTTTCCTCCATATCTGCCAAAGTTTTCGTCATTTCTCCGCACGAGTGACACTTCAACTTTCGGAATTCACAGACTTCACTTTCATGGTGAATAAGATCACGCTTGTTGACAATTAAACCACAGCCTTGGTTTGAACAAACGGCTGGTGTATATCCACATGTATCTTCATGGCGGTCAAGATGCTGTAATTCTACAACTTCTTGACAACCTCTGTCGGTGTAAACGCAGCGAATTTTCGATTCATTCAAGAAATCTTTTACCATTCTATTTGGTTCGGCCAAAGTCTCTACGGTCAGTTCATCAGCACACGTTGGGCATGTTTGGGAATTTTCCAGATGTTTCGTAATACAACAACGGCAAAAAGAATGCTGGTTTCTCGAACACATAACCGGCTCTTTCAAGACGTTGAAGCAAATCTGACAGAGGAAATTTTTATTGATTTTGTCCACAAACCTTTCTTCATCGTAGCCTTGTATATATGAAGCCATATTTCACGTTGTTCTTGTGTCGTAATAATAAAACAAGTTCTGTGTTGTTTGTCGCTCTGTAGTATAAACCTCGCTGTATAGACTGAATATAGATACAGTGTTCGTTCTTGGAGATGTCTGTGTTTGTATTTTCTCGAAGTCTTCCCAAAAATGATAAATTTACGAAGACAAATATATTTAAGGAGTGTTTTGTTGACAGGAATTTGTTGCTATGAAAATATGATATTATTATCATGTCTTGTATGGTCTTGTGACAAAAGGTCATTGACCTCCTATTGAAATACTCACTTGCAATTGGTTGTGTTATTTGTAGGAATTTCTTATTTCATTATATGGAAATGAGTTCTGAGAAAATGATACTTTTATTACTTTATACCAAGAAAAATCAATCATAATAATGAAATATTTAGACTAAGTATATTATGATCGATGCGGATAAAGTCTGCATTAAAATTTATTTCGAATCTTTCGACTAATTACTCCGGCGTCAGCGATGGAGTTGAAAATTCGCCTCGGTTTTGTTTTGTTTTTGTTTGTTTTTTTATTTTTATTTTTTTATTATTTTTCGTCGTCGCAAGTCTGTAATGGCGCGAAACATTCTAGCATTTAAAATGTGTATGTGATTGGATTTATCTATGTCCCAGTCTTGTCTCCCAAGAGTTGTGGTGCACAGCTTTGGCTAATTTTCCGATGCGCGATTCGATTTCGCTCGCATGATACGGCAATTCCTCCAAGAGGAACAAATAAACCGTTCTTTTCATGCTTTTCGATTAAGTTTAGACTGAATTGGGGTAAGAATATATTTAATACGTGTAGATTCTGGTCCTATTTTAGTAATATCGCTGCTATTTCGCCGTTTAACAAGATGATGTGGTCGTGTATGGGCGCTTTGACTCGTCGTAGTTTGCACAGGATTGAAGATTTAATATAACTATGTAAGCGCGAATTCCAAAGGCAAAGTGTAAGACAAAGCGAATGTATCATATCGTTTATTTACATTCTTGAACGATTTAACTTCTATACTTTTTAAAGTACGATGTGCTTCTGAATTTCGCGATCGAACATTTTGGTTCGCAAGGCATCTAAATGCGGCGAATATGAACTGTATTGTTTATGTTCAGAAGCTCTATATTGAAGACTGGCACGTGCGCCGGAGTTAACGCGAGAACAGGCGTCTTGTTATATGTTTAAAGCAACAGACAATAATCTCTTGGCTGAAATAAATTTCAAACGTCTTTCACAAGGGCTGGTATTTGTTTACAAATGATCCTATGGAAAACACGGAATCGTCATTTTGGAATCTGGACTCTGGAGCCGTGAAAGGTTATCTGGTGTAATGGAAATAATTTCATGTTTACTAAATCCTGAATAGCCTTGCACTGAGCTATGTATTCTATGTGAATGGGTCAAACTGCATGGTCCAGCATTATGAACCTAGATTTTTCCTAATCGTGTCAGATGATTTTACTCATCAGTGGAAGAATACTGTCAGTTAATAAGTTAACAAAACTATCTGTCAGTGTCTCTTGTTAACCCATTAGCTTGCAATGCACCCAGATGTGACCTACTTTAGTATTTTACTCTGTCTAATGTCAGATGATTTTACTCATCAGTGGAAGAATACTGTCAGTTAATAAGTTAACAAAACTATCTGTCAGTGTCTCTTGTTAACCCATTAGCTTGCAATGCACCCAGATGTGACCTACTTTAGTATTTTACTCTGTCTAAGTCAAGTTGAATATTTTCGCGGTGCAATAATATTCCAATCTAAATGAGTTTTCATCAACTCACAAATGGTTCAGGATATCTTGTGGATTGATCTACAGCTGGGGTGAATAAGAAAAACGCAACTTCAAAGTGTTCATGAAATTCACTTTCGTTTTGATCACAAAAGATCGTATAGCGTATCAAAATATTCATAAATATTAAGTGTTGTGTTTTTTTAAACATCCTGTATAAGTGCGGTCATTATATCGATGAAAAGCCATTTCAAACTGGAAGATTAAATTTTAGCAGATCAAAGATGTTTGGAGTTGTTAAGATCGTTGTTATATTCCTAGTCTTTGCAGGTACTGGAATACATATTGTGATATATATCTTTGTTCATAGAATTCTTAAGTATCACTTCGTTATTCTTTATCGTATTTTTCTGGATTTATTTTTCTAGATAATGCGGTAGAATGTTTTAAACTTGGTCAGCTTTGCAGCTCAAATGGTAGAAATTTAATCCGTGAATGTGACGTCAGGGTTGTGGTGATTTCGGAACACCAAGGTAAGACCAGATGTAACCTTGTAGCAACACAGCGAATCGATAATATTCTTATAATCTTACAAAACAATTAAATTAACTTGAATTTATCATTATACAGAGGTTCTCGTACACACAATGGTGTCGACATAATTTGCAAACCAGGGAGTTCTGTCATGACACCATTTGCTGCGAAGATCTGACGAAAATCACGTTCTTATTCAAACAACAACAAACCATATAACAATGGATTGTATATTCAAGGAAGCGGAGAAGCCGAAGGTATCATCTCTCTCACATTAATAACCAAATTCATATTAGGCACGGGAAATTCATCTTAGACAGGAAAGTTGATTGTAAAAACCCGTCTTAATATGACTTGGAATTGATATAAAATTTACACGTGTGATGGGTCGGGTAATGCTAAAAAGGGTATCGTGATTATTACGATAATAATTTTGTTTATTTTCTCAGTTAAGCGCGCCTTACACGAGAGCTGGTAGCTGAGGTAAAGACCTCGCGAGGCTGTTAGCTCAGCAAGTTACTCTCGTGTGCGGATAGTTTTTCGTGAGGAATTCGCCTCGAGAGGCAAGTTTCTATCGTGTGCGGATAGTTTTCAGGCTGAGTTAACTGCCTCGCGAGGTCGTTAGCTCAGCTGATAGCTCTCTTGTGCGGCGGGCTTTACCCTTGTTCCGTCCTTGACCGTGTTGATATTTCAGAAACTTGTCTGATTTATCCGTCTAAATGCGAATTTAAGACGAGTTTCTCGTCCAGAAGGGATTCCCGTTAAAATTAACCGTTTGTTTAGACGGGAAAGTTAGGGGGGAAAATTCTGACGAGAAACCCGTCTGTGGCCTGATTCACATCAGAGGAGTTTCCCGTCTAAGATGAGTTTCCAAGAGGAGTTTCCCCTGTAAGACGAGTTTCCTGTTTTTCTTGACCTTGTAAGACGAGTTTCCCGCCTCTAATATGAATTCGGCTAAACTAAATTTTAAACTATAATGCATTTCTCGAAACAGAATGAGTAATGAATTTGGTCATTGACTCCCGTCACATTCCGGGTTAGGTCTAAATGGTAATTTCATGTCGTGCTTTCAAGTAAAGATAAAAATACAATAAAAATAAAAGAAAGTGTAGGCACAGAATACCTATCAGAAGAACAACTCCATAGTTTTTTGCATAAGTGGTTCCATCACTCAGCAAGTACTTTAAATGAAGGCAATCACCCCCCTGCCAACTGCCCCATTTTTAATATGGGCAGGGGGGTAGTTCCTTTTATTAACGGTACTTGCTGAGTGATGAATCATGCAATAAATCCCCCCCTGCTAACCTTCCCATTTTTAATACTTGCAGGGGGGTGATTCATAGAGGTCCAATAAAGAGGGAAAGTGTTAAAATTGAATAATCAATTTCTTTTTCAGATATAAAATGGATATTTCAGGTGGTCTTGGAAGATCTGCTGGAAAGGTATCCATATTCACATTTTTCTTCTCCATATTCGCAGATATTCGCTCCATAATCGTAAATTTTTTCCCTGTGAAAAACCTTACTTTTTGTTGTGAAATTTTTCAGATATGGCGTGTTGGTCTGATGGGGTTGAACAGTACAAAAGATAACAGGGCATCTTTTAATACCATAGACTGGTGGGGCATTTGCCCCACTGGGCCCTTTCCTTTCCCCACCACTGAAGAAAAAAAATGGCATATTGCCCCAAAGCCAGCCTGGGCCCTTTTTGCACATGAATAAACTATCAAGAGTTAAATAAGTTTAACGTTAATAAGAATCTATATAATTTATTACGGTGTTCATGTTCGTTGTGAATTTTCAATTTTACCAAAATCACAAACTAGGTAAAATTTCACATTAATGACTTGTATGGAAATATGAAGAAATAGATTTGGTAACCAGTGGCGCACATGCATTATAGAAGCTTCGTACTTCGTATATAGCCATTGAATATTTATAGTCTATTTGTATTTTTAACGAAAATTTTAGCGAAAATTTAAATTTATAATGAAGAGATCGATGAAATCCGGTCATCAGAAGCGAATCGAGGGCAAAAAAAAGGCGCTACAGCAGTCAGCAAATGCCCCAGAGCAATGATCTTTGTTTGAAATGCTCAGATCGAAAACAGCAACAAATAGCTGTAGTACAACTAATAATAATACGAGCGAATGCATGCTCACAGATGAGTACGGGTTCGCAGAACCAAATAAATTTACTGAGTTCGCAGTCACAACAGTCACAACATGTTGAGCTTTCTGATCCTGAACCTATAATGGTCGTTATTGAAAGCGGTACTCAACCATAATGAAACTACTAACAGTATAACACTGTTGCAACAGTGTTATACTGTTGTATTGCAACTGTACTAACCGAAGTATTAATGTCGAAGTCTGATCTCAAAATTTTAACGACTGGTATAAGGGGATGAAAAAGTCTTCCGAGATCAATTTGAACAAAATTATGATTTCAAGTAACCTTCGGGGCTCGTGTGCCGATCTGAGCCGTGCCGTGGGCCTTTTTGTAGTTTTGCCCCACCACTGAATAATCCCTAAAAGATGCCCTGAAAGATAATGTAAATCTTGTACTAAAAGCCTTCAAGGACGCGATGGAAAACGTGAAATTACAAAATAATCTGTGAGCAAACTTGAAACAAGAATTTTATTTTAGTTGACAAACTAATTTATATTACTTAATCAGGGTTTTGTTTTAATAAAGAGTAAAACTATCTCTCCAAATCTTGTTAATTGTTAAATTTTAAAATATGACTTGGTCTGTGGCAGTCTGACAGACACAGACATCATTTACAGACAGGCTGATATTTAAAATAGGTAACTGAGCTATTTCTTGAGGCAGAGGCTCAGTTAGGATTCTTGGTCTGGGGAACTGGGGCAGAAAAACCCAGGTGGGGAGGGGTGGGGTTGTGGCTAAAAAACCTATGTGTAGGGGGGGTGAAAAACCTAGGTGGAGGGGGAGCAAAAAAGCTTATTTCAAATTTTTTTTTTCATGTTTCATTTTAAACCTTCCTCAATGAAAATATCTATTTCAAAGATTTGTCATTGTTCTTTAATATATAATTCTAAGAACTGACTCAATTTAAATTCAGTCACAAAAATATAAATCAGTATATGTCTGACAATCAACTTAGAATGCTACAATCTATTTCTATAACTTTGTGAAAATCTTATAGTTCATTTCAATTGTTCATAATATGTTAGGAGTTTTCACTTAATACCTTACATATTGTTCACACAACAACAGCAGTGTGCCACAATCTTTCTTCAGACATTTCTGGAAGTTCTTCCCAAGAATACCTTTCAAAGTTGAAACCTTCAACTGACTTCAGCTCTGCTTGCTCACCCCACCCTCCCAGGACTACAATGTTGTTTTCAATAACAACCGCAGTACATCCCTTCCTCTTACATCTCATTGATGGCAGCATGTGACTTTGTTCTGTCTTGACATTGTAAATGATAACTGTATCTAATTCATTGCCATGTTTGTCTTCACCACCAATAACAACAATGTTGTCTCCCCATCTCACAGTTGCCATGCAACTCACTTCATACGGCAGTGGTGACAACTGTTTCAGCTCATTCTTCTTTATATCGTACAATACGACACTGCTGAGGTTGTCCCTGCAGTTGCCAGTTGTACTTCCACCAACTATCAACAAATTATCATCAAATATTTCCATGCTGTGACCTTGTCTTGGTTCTGGCATTCTTGATAAGGTCTTCACAGTATAGGGAGGAACAAGCTGGACTGCTCTGATCAAGTCAGATGAACCATTTCCATTATGACCTCCAGAAACTATCAACTGATCATTATACAGAACACTGCTGTGGTATCTCAACTTATCAGGTAGTTTAACAGGACAGTCACTCCAGTGTGTTGAGAGATCAGGGTTTTGGTCAATATTCATTCTAATCATATCATCAACAATGAGAGACCAAGCCCAGCAACCCCCAGCTATAGTCATATGATTGTTATAAATAAATGAAGTCGCTCCCCAACGTTTCTTTGGCATTGATTGTAATGGCGACCATGTTCTTTTACGCCAGTTAAACATCTCTACAGAGTTAGTTACTAAACCTCCAGCAACAATTATATTTTCCTTATCACCACTTGGTCTATTTCTTACTTTTCTTGTGTTTTCTTCTTTCTTGCCCTCAATCGTGATAAGAACGTCCTTCATTTCATCAAAAGCTCTGACCAAAGCTGTTTTCAATCCATCGACTTTGTTGTTAACCGCTTCGAGTTTTCCTTCCATATCTGCTTTTATATCTGCTTTTAAATCTGCGACTGCGACTGTGGTATTTCTCGCCATATTTCGCTCTAAATTTGTTATTTTAGTTTCAATTGTTGTATTATTCTTCGCCATTCTTTCCCCCATTTCTGCCAAAGTTTTCGTCATTTCTCCGCACGAGTGACACTTCAACTTTCGGAATTCACAGACTTCACTTTCATGGTGAATAAGATCACGCTTGTTGACAATTAAACCACAGCCTTGGTTTGTACAAACGGCTGGTGTATATCCACATGTATCTTCATGGCGGTCAAGATGCTGTAATTCTACAACTTCTTGACAACCTCTGTCAATGTAAACGCAACGAATTTTTGATTCATTTAAGAAATCTTTTACCATTCTATTTGGTTCAGCCAAAGTCTCTACGGTCAGTTTATCAGCACACGTTGGGCATGTTTGAGAATTTTCCAGATGTTTCGTAATACAACAACGGCAAAAAGAATGCTGGTTTCTCGAACACATAACCGGCTCTTTCAAGACGTTGAAGCAAATCTGGCAATGAAAATTTTGATTGATTTTGTCCACAAACCTTTCTTCATCGTAGCCTTGTATATATGAAACCATATTTCACGTCGTTCTTGTGTCGTAATAATAAAGCAAGTTCTGTGTTGTTTGTCGCTCTGTAGTATAAACCTCGCTGTATAGACTGAATATAGATACAGTGTTCGTTCTTGAAGAAGCCTAAGTTTGTATTTTCTTGAAATCTTCTCCAAAATGATCAGTTTATGAAGACAAATATCCCTTACTTATAAAGTATTTGCATAAGACGCGTCCTTTCATGTCAGGACTCAGGAATTCCTGGAATTTGCTGCGGTGTTTCCAAAAATGAATTTGAAAATGACGGGAGCTGACGGAAAGAGCTGGATCCGAATTAAACATTTTTTCTTTTATTTTCAGTAGATTTTAGAGAAATGTTATTTTGCAGTAATTTAAGTCGACTCTAAAAGTTTTAACTTGTTCTATTAAAATGGGAATTTACAATTTCAAAAGTGCTGACGATGCTGCGATAGTTTTTAATATAAAACTCCATGTTCACTAAATCCTAAATACACGAATTCAATCTTTGGGATTATGTTAGGAATTGGGTTAAGATTATGTTTTAGTTCAAGGTTCTAGGTTTATGGTTTAATAGGGTTACATCTTATCCTAAATTTAACCCTAATCCCAACCTAATCTTGAGAATTAAATGGAATAATACTGCCAACACTGCCAACATAGAAAACGCTAAATATCCAGTTTGTGATATCAGAAAACTGTCACGGAGTGAAATTTCAAGGCAAACGGGAAGTTTGTTTTGGCAGTTAATGAGTTAAAAAAAACTATCCCTCAGACTTATATTATTATATGAGATTATGTTACGATTAGGGTTAAGATTAGGTTTTAGGTTTATTGTTAACAAGACGCCTACTAGGCGTTATATGATCGCGTCGTTCACAGCGGCGTAGCCAGCCCAGCTATGCAAATTTTGTGTCGTAAATGAACAGCCCATTTTGAAACTGCTTGAAATCCTTTAGTGCAGGCTTTCTCTGCTCGGCGTGTGCAGTTAGTTGTATGTGTAATGAGTGTAAAGATAAAGATAGCATTTTGATCGCTTTATTGATTCTACTTTACTGCTTCGAAGTTCGAAGGTGAAACGAAATATGCCCAAAGTGAATACAACACGTGATATAACTAGCAACTTACCTGTGCGCAGGTTCCCGATTAGGGTGATATGGCCCGCAGCTAGCGACGCTGGGGGTCGACCCGAGAGGAAAAAAATAATAAAAAAAAAAAAAAAACCAAGCCGAAACTATAGATCGCTGTCGCTACGCGACGCGATCAAATAGGGTTAAACCTTATCCTAAATTAAACCCTAATCCTAACCTAATCTCAAGGATTAAATGGAATTATATTGATTGCCAACATAGAAAACGCTGAACATTCCAGTGTTCCAAGAGATCAGAAAACTGCCAGGGAGTGAAATTTCAAGGAAAAAAGAGGAAGTTTGTTTTGGTAAGTGGAAGCTACCGTCGTTTAAAACTTTCAATTTTCAAACATTTCTTTTCCAAACTTTCGTTTTGAAGCAAAATATTTTGAATTATTTTCTCTCAATTGCAAGGAAATACACGAGCTTTTCTAGCGAAATATGTCGCACGACGTGACCGTAAACTTCAACGGCAAATCATTTAACCTTCGTTTTCAACCATCCTGGACAATCTCTCAACTAAAACGGGAAATTGCTCGCAAGAAAAATGTCAAAACTGCTGGAATTAAAATCATTTTTGCCGGTCGAGAATTACCCGATGAATTAACACTCGGGGTGAGTGATTTTTAGGAAAATATCAAGCTTTTAATGTGATTTATATAACAATTTTCAAAGAAATAACGAAAGCTTTACTGTGAAATGTTGAAATGATTTTATAAATGAGGTTTTTTTTCGTTCGGGATTTTGATGTTTAAAGCGACCATCTTCGTTATAGTAAATCTGAGATAGATTATGATACAGCTTGTCTTGCTTGAGTCAGTCCATCTCAGAATATCACAGTGTCTGAATCTTGATAAAATGATATTTTAAGACATTTTTCAAAGCCATCTTTCTCCACTAAAACCTGACCCAAACTTATGTGAATTCTCACTCATGGACAGTTTCCAGGATTTTTCAGATGATTCTCAAAATTCTCAGATTGTAGCCAGGGTTCAGGTGTCTTGGAATATGGTTCAAAGTCAACATACCACCATTCTGAATGTATTTACAAAATAATTCACAGAGATGTGAGATTATTTAGCACTATAACCTCATCACTGAAATCTTTTTAAATTTCTTTGCAAATACTGGAGAGTTGACTGCAATAGATGATCTGTTCACAGCTAGGCTTTCAAAAAAAAGAGAGAAATCTGGTTGGCTTTTTTATGGTAGCCAGTGATTTGAAAGCAAGTTTGAGTAAAAGATCTACGAATTTTTACCATTTTTTCAATTGCTTGGCTTTCTAAACTTGCATCAGAAAGTGTAGTTTTAGAACATGAAATATTTGTATTCCTGAAGGTGGTTTTCATTACATTAACTTTGCCTCAGTGCCATGGCTAGACAGCTTAATTGAAGGGTGTATATTTGTACATTCATGTTTACATATGATAGGAACAATAGCTTACAAAAGAAATAAGTTGGGCATAAACAAATATATGAATGTACGCCCACAATGGACATTTCTTATACTGACCTCAAACACTGAAAGTCTGATGTTACACGAAATTTGATTGGCTCCACGAAACTATCGAACCAATGAAACTTCGTGTAACATCAGACTTTCCACCTTTGACGTTATTATGGAAAAGGTCAATTAATCTTTGAGCTATGGCGCTGCCTGCTCTTTCTTGAGGCGTGTCACAACTGCATCTGCAGATTTCTCTGAAGGCTGCTTCACCCATGCTGGCAAAGTTAACATAATGGAAAGCAGTCTTTAAATTGCCATCAGTCGACAATGAGTCTGACATTCTGAGATATGAAACTGTGTTTTTTTGTAGAATGCAGAGATGAACCACAGCATCATTCATGCTGTTCAGAAATCTGGTCAGATCTCAGTTGATGCAACTTACAATGCGAATGATGGTTTGACGAAAGTGAAACTGACACAGGATGACGAAGATGAAGATGGTGAATCTCAACAATCAGGTGGTGATGAGATCTTTCATAAACCTCTCAATGATGTGACCACTCTCTTTTTAGTGTTCTTCCTGGTTTAATACACACCCTCAATAAATACGTCCATCCATCTCCACTGTGATAACAATTCATACCAGGTTGTTGATAAAAATTAAAAACATCTCATTCTTTCATAGGAATTTTATTTCAAATGTGGGGAACATCATGGTAGAGATGAACAGGCGCCATTATCAATGTTGAAATCTAACATCGGAAATATTCCCTGCATCACATGCTCTGAAATATCGTAAGTTTACCCTTTCATTTTATGTCTCCTCTCAGAAATATTTATCCTACTAGGAAAGTTGAATTTTTTAATCCAAACCGCAGTTAATAGAAACTAATAACTCTGATCCAACATGGTCAATATTTAATCAAGTTTTTTCACTCATGCTGTCATGCACCTACCTATTGTTTGAATTCTTTTATTTGATGTTTCATTTTAAACCTTCCTCAATGAAAATATCTATTTCATAGATTTGTCATTGTTCTTTAATATATAATTCTAAGAACAGACTCAATTTAAATTCAATTACAAAAACACAAATCAGTATATGTCTGACAATCAACTTAGAATGCTACAATCTATTTTTATAACTTTGTGAAAATCTTATAGTTCATTTCAATTGTTCATAATATGTTAGGAGTTTTCACTTAATACCTTACATATTGTTCACACAACAACAGCATTGTGCCACGATCTTGCTTTAGACATTTCTGGAAGTTCTTCCCAAGAATACCTTTCAAAGTTGAAACCTTCAACTGACTTTAGCTCTTGTCGCTCACCCTCCCCTCCCAGGACTACAATGTTGTTTTCAATAACAACTGCAGTACATCCCCTCCTCTTACATCTCATTGATGGCAGCATGTGACTTTGTTCTGTCTTGACATTGTAAATGATAACTGTAGCTAATGGCTTGCCATGTTTGTCAGCGCCACCAATAACAACAATGTTGTCTCCCCGTCTCACAGTTGCCATATCACTCACTTCATACGGCAGTGGGGACAACTGTTTCAGCTCATTCTTCTTTATATCGTACAGTACGACACTGCTGAGGTTGTCTTTGTATCCGCAAGTTGTACTTCCACCAACTATCAACAAATTATCATCAAATATTTCCATGCTGTGACCTTGTCTTGGTTCTGGCATTCTTGATAAGGTCTTCACAGTATAGGGAGGAACAAGCTGGACTGAACTGATCAAGTCCGAGAAGCAATTTCCATTAACACCTCCAGAGATTATCAACTGATCATTATACAGCACACTGCTGTGGTATTTCAACGTATCAGGTAGTTTAACAGGACAATCACTCCAGTGTGTTGAGAGATCAAGGTTTGGGTCAATATTCATTCTAATCATATCATCAACAATGACAGAACCATCACAGTGACCCCCAGCTATAGTCATATGATTGTTATAAATAAATGAAGTCGCTCCATAACGATGGTTTGGCATTGATTGTAATGGCGACCACGTTCTTTGACGCCAGTTAAACATCTCTACAGAGTTAGTTCCTACACCTCCAGCAACAATTATATTTTCCTTATCACCACTTGGTCTATTTCTTACTTTTCTTGTGTTTTCTTCTATCTTGCCCTCCATCGTGATAAGAACGTCCTTCATTTCATCAAAAGCTCTTACCAAAGCTGTTTTCAAACCTTTGACTTCGCTGTTAACCGCTTCGAGTTTTCCTTCCATATCTGCTTTTAAATCTGCTTTTAAATCTGCCGTGTTTTTCTCGATATTCCGTGCAACATTTCGCTCTAAATTTGTTATTTTAGTTTCAATTGTTACATTATTCTTCTCCATATTCGCCATTCTTTCCTCCATATCTGCCAAAGTTTTCGTCATTTCTCCGCACGAGTGACACTTCAACTTTCGGAATTCACAGACTTCACTTTCATGGTGAATAAGATCACGCTTGTTGACAATTAAACCACAGCCTTGGTTTGTACAAACGGCTGGTGTATATCCACATGTATCTTCATGACGGTCAAGATGCTGCAATTCTACAACTTCTTGACAACCTCTGTCGATGTAAACGCAACGAATTTTTGATTCATTTAAAAAATCTTTTACCATTCGTGGTGGTTCAATCAAAGTCTCTACGGTTAGTTCATCAGCACACGTTGGACATGTTTGAGAATTTTCCAGATGTTTCGTAATACAACAACGGCAAAACGAATGCTGGTTTCTCGAACACATAACCGGCTCTTTCAAGACGTTGAAGCAAATATGACAATGAAAATTTCGATCGATTTGGTTCACAAACCTTTCTTCATCGTAGCCTTGTATATATGAAGCCATATTTCACGTCGTTCTTGTGTCGTAATAATAAAACAAGTTCTGTGTTGTTTGTCGCTCTGTAGTATAAACCTCGCTGTATAGACTGAAGAATATAGATACAGTGTTCGTTCTTGAAGATGTCTGTTTTTTTATTTTCTCGAAATCTTCTCCAAAATGATCAGTTTATGAAGACAAATATCTCTTCCTTATAAAGTGTTTGCATAAAATGCATCATTTGCTGTCAGGAATTCTTGGAATTTGCTGCCGTGTTTCCGCAAATAAATTTCAAAATATCGCGAGCTGAGAGAGAGAACTGGGACTGGAGTATAACGCACTGAGCTATGTATGTTAAGTAAATGGGTCAAACTGTATGGTCCAGCATTATGAACCTAGATTTTTCCTAATCGTGTCAGATGATTTTACTCATCAGTGGAAGAGTACTGTCAGTTAATAAGTTAACAAAACTATCTGTCAGTGTCTCTTGTTAACCCATTAGCTTGCAATGCACCCAGATGTGACCAACTTTAGTATTTTACTCTGTCTAATGTCAGATGTTTTTACTCATCAGTGGAAGAATACTGTCAGTTAATAAGTTAACAAAACTATCTTTCAGTGTCTCTTGTTAACCCATTAGCTTGCATTGCACCCAGATGTGACCTACTTTAGTATTTTACTTTGTCTAAGTCAAGTTGAATATTTTCCCGGTGCAATAATATTCCAATCTAAATGAGTTTTCATCAACACACAAATGGTTCAGGATATCTTGTGGATTGATCTACAGCTTTGGTGAATAAGAAAAACGCAACTTCAAAGTGTTCATGAAATTCACTTTCGTTTTGATCACAAAAGATCGTATAGCGTATCAAAATATTCATAAATATTAAGTGTTGTGTTTTTTTAAACACCCTGTATAAGTGCGGTCATTATATCGATGAAAAGCCATTTCAAGCTAGAAGATTAAATTTTAGCAGATCAAAGATGTTTGGAGTTGTTAAGATCGTTGTTATATTCCTAGTCTTTGCAGGTACTGGAATACATATTGTCATATATATCTTTGTTCATAGAATTCTCAAGTATCACTTCGTTATTCTTCATCGTATTTTTCTGGATTTATTTTTCTAGATAATGCGGTTGAATGTTTTAAACTTGGTCAGCTTTGCAGCTCAAATGGTAGAAATTTAATCCGTGAATGTGACAGTCAGGGTTGTGGTGATTTCGGAACACCAAGGTAAGACCAGATGTAACCTTGTAACAACACAGCGAATCGATAATATTCTTATAATCTTACAAAAATATTAAATTAACGTGAATTTATCATTATACAGAGGTTCTCGTACACGCAATGGTGTCGACATAATTTGCAAACTAGGGAGTTCTGTCATGACACCATTTGCTGCGAAGATCTGACGAAAATCACGTTCTTATTCAAACAACAACAAACCATATAACAATGGATTGTATATTAAAGGAACCGGAGAAGCCGAAGGTATTTTCTCTCTCACATTAATAACCAAATTCATATCAGGCACGGGAAATTCATCTTAGACAGGAAAGTTGATTGTAAAAACTCGTCTTAATATGACTTGGAATGGATATAAAATTTACACGTGTAATGGGTCGGGTAATGCTAAAAAGGGTATCGTGATTATTACGATAATCATTTTGTTTATTTTCTCAGTGAAGCGCGCCTCACACGAGAGCTGGTAGCTGAGGTAAAGACCTCGCGAGGCTGTTAGCTCAGCAAGTTACTCTCGTGTGCAGATAGTTTTTCGTGAGGAATTCGCCTCGAGAGGCAAGTTTCTATCGTGTGCGGATAGTTTTCAGGCTGAGTTAACTGCCTCGCGAGGTCGTTAGTTCATCTGATAGCTCTCTTGTGCGGCGGGCTTTACCCTTGTTCCGTCCTTGACCGTGTTGATATTTCAGAAACTCGTCTGATTTATCCGTCTAAATGAGAATTTAAGACGAGTTTCTCGTCCAGAAGGGATTCTTGTTCAAATTAACCGTTTGTTTAGACGGGAAAGTTAGGCGGGAAAATTCTGACGAGAAACCCGTCTGTGGCCTGATTCACATCAGACGAGTTTCCCGTCTAAGATGAGTTTCCAAGAGGAGTTTCCCCTGTAAGACGAGTTTCCTGTTTTCCTTGACCTTGTAAGACGAGTTTCTCGCCTCTAATATGAATTCGGCTAAACTAAATTTTAAACTATAATGCATTTCTCGAAACAGAATGAGTAATGAATTTGGTCATTGACTCGCGTCACCCCCCGGGTTAGGTCTAAATGGTAATTTCATGTCGTGCTTTCAAGTAAAGATAAAAAAACATTAAAAATAAAAGAATACCTATCAGAAGAACAACTCCATTGTTTTTTGCATAAGTGGTTCCGTCACTCAGCAAGTAACGTAAATGAAGGCATTCACCCCCCTGCCAACTACTATATTTTTAAAATGAACAGGGGGGTAAATCCTTCCATTTACGGTACTTGCTGAGTGATGAAATGTGGAATGAGTCACCCCCCTGCCAATAGCTGCATTTTTAATACTTGCAAGGGGGTGATTCATAGAGGTCCAGTAAAGAGGGAGAGTGTTAAAATTGGATAATCAATTTCTTTTTCAGATGTAAAATGGATATTTCAGGTGGTCTTGGAAGTCTGCTGGAAAGGTATCCATATTCACAATTTTCTTTTCCATATTCGCAGATATTCCATATTCCGAATATTCCATATTCGCAGATATTGTCGTGAAATTTTTCAGATATGGCATGTTGGTCTGATGGGGTTGAACAGTACAAAAGATAATGTAAATCTTGTACTAAAAGCCTTCAAGGACGCGATGGAAAACGTGAAATTACAAAACAATCTGTGAGCAAACTTGAAACAAGAATTTTATTTTATTTGACAAACCAATTTATATTACTTAATCAGGGTTTTGTTTTAATAAAGAGTAAAACTATCTCTCCAAATCTTGTTAATTGTTAAATTTTAAAATATGACTTGGTCTGTGGCAGTCTGACAGACACAGACATCATTTACAGACAGGCTGATATTTAAAATAGGTAACTGAGCTATTTCTTGAGGCAGAGGCTCAGTTAGGATTCTTGGTCTGGGGGGCTGGGGCAGAAGAACCCAGGTGGGGAGGGGTGGGTTGTGGCTGAAAAAACCTAGGTGGGAGGGGGGGGGCTGAAAAAACCTAGGTGGAGTGGGTGCAGAAAAGCTTCAAATTTTTTATTTTGTGTTTCATTTTAGACCTTCCTCAATGAAAATATCTATTTCAAACATTTATTATTGTTCTAAGAACGGACTTAATTTAAATTCAATCACAAAAATACAAATCAGTATATGTCTGACAATCAACTTAGAACGTTACAATCTATTTCTATAACTTTGTGAAAGTCATATAGATGATATAGTTCATTTCAACTCTTCATAATATGTTAGGAGTTTTCACTTAATACCTTACATATTGTTCACACAACAACAGCAGTGTGCCACGATTTTGCTTTAGACATTTCTGGAAGTTCTTCCCAAGAATACCTTTCAAAGTTGAAACCTTCAACTGACTTTAGCTTTCCTTGCTCATCAGATCCTCCCAGGACTACAATGTTGTTTTCAATAACAACTGCAGTACATCCCCTCCTCTTAAATCTCATTGATGGCAACATGTGACTTTGTTCTGTCTTGACATTGTAAATGATAACTGTATCTAGAATCTTGCCATGTTTGTCAGAGCCACCAATAACAACAATGTTGTCTCCCCATCTCACAGTTGCCATATCACTCACTTCATATGGCAGTGGTGACAACTGTTTCAGCTCATTCTTCTTTATATCGTACAGTATGACACTGCAGAGGCTGTCTGTGTATCTGTGAGTTGTTCTTCCACCAACTATCAACAAATTATCATCAAATATTTCCATGCTGTGACCTTGTCTTGGTTCTGGCATTCTTGATAAGGTCTTCACAGTATAGGGAGGAACAAGCTGGACTGATCTGATCAAGTCAGATAAACCATTTCTATTATGACCTCCAGAGACTATCAACTCATCATTATACAGCACACTGCTGTGGCTTTCCAACTTATCAGGTAGTTTAACAGGAGAGTCACTCCAGTGTGTTGAGAGATCAGGGTTTGGGTCAATATTCATTCTAATCATATCATCAACAATGCCACACCCAGCACAGCTACCCCCAGCTATAGTCATATGATTGTTATAAATAAATGAAGTCGCTCCAAAACGATTCTTTGGCATTGATTGTAATGGCGACCATGTTCTTTGACGCAAGTTAAACATCTGTACAGAGTTAGTTCCTCCACCTCCAGCAACAATTATATTTTCCTTATCACCACTTGGTCTATTTCTTACTTTTCTTGTATTTTCTTCTATCTTGCCCTCCATCATGATAAGAACGTCCTTCATTTCATCAAAAGCTCTGACCAAAGCTGTTTTCAATCCTCTGACTTCGTTGTTAACCGCTTCGTGTTTTCCTTCTATGTCTGCTTTTATATCTGCTTTTAAATCCGCGGTATTTTTGTCTATTTTTCTCTCTAAATTTGTTATTTTAGTTTCAATTGTTACACTATTCTTCCCCATGTTCTTGTCCATATTCGCGATTCTTTCCTCCATTTCTGCCAAAGTTTTCGTTATTTCTCCGCACGAGTGACACTTCAACTTTCGGAATTCACAGACTTCACTTTCATGGTGAATAAGATCACGCTTGTTGACAATTAAACCACAGCCTTGGTTTGTACAAACGGCTGGTGTATATCCACATGTATCTTCATGGCGGTCAAGATGCTGTAATTCTACAACTTCTTGACAACCTCTGTCGATGTAAACGCAACGAATTTTTAACTCATTTAAAAGTTCTTTTACCATTCTATTTGGTTCGGTCAAAGTCTCTACGGTCAGTTCATCGGCACACGTTGGACATGTTGGAGAATTTTCCAGATGTTTCGTAATACAACAACGGCAAAAACAATGTTGGTTCTTCGGACACAGGA